AACAATATTATGGGTTTGATCTCACATATGAATGACTACTCCATGAAAAGGTTTCAACTCAAGGCTTAAAAAATGAAGAACACAAGAATGGGGGTGTTGATCTCAAGAGGGCCATGGTGACCACATTTTTGTCGAGGGAGCTCTTTTCTTTTGAAGTGAAATTTAAAATTAGGGTTATTGATCCAATAAGTTATTTTTATACTTAGATTATTAATGTTGATTTGATCTTGATCCTTGATGCTTTAGATCAATGGCACATGAGAGGCTTTTATTCAAGTCACTCATCCATATCTTGTCACCAAGATCAATAGATGAGTTTTTGACACCTTTCATTTCTAAAAACTTAGATTTATAGTTATTTTACCTTAAAGCCTTTAGCTCAATGTTTTATTTCTCATTAAATCCAAATTCATGTTTACACTTAGGCCCATGATTTTTAAGTAATTTTTTAGAGTCAATAAAATACAAAGACATGAACATAAAGATAATATGAGACATCCACACATGTGAATAAAATATCTTATGATACTACCAATAGAATTTCAACAACATTAAAGTCTTACATGGGTCAAGTCCATAAGGTGGTACCATATAAGATATATCCACGTGTCACAAAATCATGTGGATAATAATATAAATCAAATTAATTCTCAAAATCCCATGACTTCACAAATGCCAAAAAATAACACATGTGACTTAAATCAAACATAAAGCATAACAATATATAACACTTTAAATAACAAGATAACATGCTATAACACAATACTACCAAAAGAATTAATGACAAATAGGTCCGCACATGGATATAACATCAGCATGATGTCATCCACAAGTGGGGAGGGAGGGGTGCCACGTGGCATCCCTTTGACCACTTGGGATCCATGTGACATTCCCATATGATGTCTTTGTTTGGAATTTATTTCAAAAAAAATTGAAAATCACATTTTTTATTGTTTAAAAATTCTTTAAAAACCCCAAAAATTCTCCAAATGATTTTACAACATTATTACACAAATTATCATCAATATAAAACTCCTCAATTTTAGACTAATTTGGGCCAAAGGTAAATGAGATCTCTAAACTTATAACACTAGTCGGAGTCTTTCATTGGGCTAAGCCCGAATGACGTTCTATTGGTATTTAAAGCTGACCCAACGGACCTACGCTCTATATTCTTTGATAAGAACACATAATTGATCACATCAAAATCGTTGAGCCAGAGCTTTATATCACTGGGGGTTCAATGGATTACTAGTGCATCCCTATGAGGCATGTTGTTAAGTCTAATATAGAGGTTCTCTCAAAGCACATGTACACTAGCTCTTCTAAGTCGGATAATACTATAGACAAGTGGCTTCCCCATACAACTATAGATGCACATGCCATGAAACGGTCTCGTGTCAGGATAGAGGCTCATGTCCTACGAGCCGACCATTCCAGAGAAGGTTAATACTCTTTTAAATACTCGGGTTCTATTATACTCAATTGGATTCTCCAAGACCTGGTTTATCACATTAACCATACGACATTTTAATCAATATAATCATGACTCAGAGGTAACCCTCACACCTCTCCGAGAGATCACTCTCTCAAACTGCAAGCTCTCAATGCTTTATAAAATTCGGGGTATATGAATTTGGGCCCAGTACATCATGCACTCAGATTCAGTATCTCTCTAACTCCCACCAAGCGAAAGACTCTTCGCTTTAAAGCTTGGAAAGGCAACATAATCTTATATATATATATATTCGAAAAGTCTCCCTAATGCCTATATAGAGCCTAGGCTCTAAACAATCAAATTAGAGCCTACCTTCAAATAGTGTCGAGAAATGTGGTTTCAATATTGGAAATCTTTTTTATAGCTTGATAGCCTTAAAATAATTTTTATATTTATTTATAAAGTTTAAAGCTCCAAAAATAGTGTAGATCGACTAAACTATGAAAACTTGAAAATTGATGATCCAAAAATGTGTTACAAAATACACTATTTTCAAAACTTGAAATCCATTTTTTTCTCATGTGGACGCATCTTGATGTCGAAATGAATAGTTTGAACATATTTGGGCATCAAAACAACCTCTTCTAGTGAAAATTTTGAGGTAGGCTCAAATTTGAGTGTTTAAAGCCTCGACGCTATATAAACTTTTTCATATATATATATATATATATGTTGTGGTATCTATAAGGTTGAAACCTTAAACAATCCAATTAAGGTGCACCTCCGAATTTTATTATAATATGTAATTTTGGTGCAAAATATTCTTAGGATTATTTGAAAATATACTTTCATATCTAATTATAAAATTTTTTTTAAAAAAAATTGTTAAAATCAAGAAAATCTATAAACATAAGAAAATCTTAAAAATGGACGGTCTAGATAATGTGTTGAAAAATGCACTATTTTTGGGATTCAAAATCGTTTTTTTATTTCATATTCATACATCACGATGTCGAGATGATCAATTAGTTTATATATATATATATATATATATGGAAAAGTCTTCCCAATGCCTATAGGCGACAATGAAGAGTGATTTCGCCTATCCTCATCACCATCCAAAAAGTTCATCGCGCGGTCACGATTGTCCAGTAGTGTTTCATTTTTCATTTTTTTTTTCTACAAATCGAAATGATCTAAAATTTGGGGCGTATATACGTCTTAGTGAGACGCATTTAATAAAGATATAAAAAAA